ATTTCAAAATATTATTGAAACATATATGTTGAATAAAATAAACTAAAATCATCATTTGCGAGTGAATTGGTAACCGTAATGAATCATTTGGGAGTTAATCTTTACGTGTATATGTTTCAATAATTTAGGAATAATTATCATATATGTTGAAACCATTATGGAATTTAGAAATAATTATCATATATGTTTCAATAATTTAGGAATTTAGGAATAATTATTCCTAAATATACACGGTTATATTTGTGAGTGAATATTTACTGTGTATATTTTCAATAATTTGGGAACAATATCTCCACAAGAAGGGGTCGTTCTCGGTAGTAGATTTCTTAGCTAAGGCTGACTGAATCAATATCAATAAATCAATAAATATTCAATATATTAAATATATTGGTATACAATAAATATTTCTAATTGTAGCCGAAAAAGTTTGAGCGGGAAAACTTCATCCATTTTTAGCAAAATGGTTTGGTCCATTATATAGATATAGATTATCATTATTATTATTATTATTATTATTATTATTATTATTATTATTATTATTATTATTATTATTATTATTATTATTATTATTATTATTATTATTATTATTGTTATTGTTATTGTTGTTGTTGTTGTTTTATTTTTTTTTTTATTTTTTTTTTGTATCGGTAAAAGTAAATTTATAAATCAAAATTGTTGTTCGAACAACCCATGGACGACCTACAAAAGCAAAGTGGGTAGTCACATGCATGGCTCCTCACTCGCAGGTCATAAAGTCTAAGAGGGCAACCACATGTCGGTTGCTCACTCAGCAAAACAAAAATACAAAAACACCAAGCGCGTCGCGGTGCTACGCTCGGCTCGATGCCTTTCTTCCCCTGCACGTGAGGTGGCCAGCATCCGCGAGCTCTCAAAACCTCCTTGCCTAGGGAATACCTATCATACTCTAGGGGCTTTCAGCTCATATTCGGCAAGGACATTTGGATAAAACCCGCAGTTGCCCCTCTCGACTTTGGGGGCATATTTCCTTCCATCCCCGAAGGAACTGGTTTAATTTTTTTATCATCCGGCTCGAGCAAGACTTAAACTTCGTAAATTTGATAGATATTTGGAATCAGTTATTTTCTTTGCATTTTTTTAATATGTTACTGAATTAAATTGAGACCCAAAAATGTTGGAGAACACAAACCTATAAAACAATGAAAGTTATCTAACTAAAATTGCATTTTTTCCCCAACATTCCATCCCTAATCGTGTACACGATACGAGCCCTACACGTGGGCCCCACATTTGTACAAGCAAACGCAAAATGTGGTGGTCGCGCCTTTGAAATCCTTAACCGAACAATAACTTCTGATGGAGAGGTTTGGCGGGAACAGAAGCCCGCTCAGGCAAACAACTTCGCAGTTTACGGGACTTTGGACTTCACAAGGAACCTTAGCTGCAATGCTGCAAGTCGAGCTGCCGAAAGCTTCTAATCGTAATGTGGCGCACGTAACGGCTATTAGAAAGAGTGCGGAGTTCAAAATGTGCACAAGCTTTGCCATATTGTAGGAAGGTACAATCCTTTTTTTTTTTAAAAAAAAAATTATTATTGTTATTATTTGTTTTGTATAATTATGAGTTTTTGGTACAATTTATAGGCCATACATATATCTTTTTGGGTTATTTTTTTGGAAGATTTGTGGCAAAATGAGTATGCTAGTGAATGCATGCCATGGATCTGATCATGTGAATAGTGATTTGAATTGGTAAAAGGTTGATTAAATTATTTGCATATTACAAGGGATTATTATAGAAATTTTGTGACACAAATTGAATAGCATGCTGCTGGGATTGAGTCAATAGTTGACTGGAAATGAAACAAACTTTGACGATGTGAACTTTAAAAAATGTGTTGCTTTTTAGAATTTGCAGGGCAAAGAATTTAAATAGCTTCTCTTTTTGTCTTTTATTGCCATATTTTACGATTCGACATACTTTCAAACTGAAATGTCACATTCTGAAAAATAACATAAAAATTATAGAATTTTGTAGTGTAAATAATACGACGAGTCGACCTCATTTGTAAATTAGGCAGTCTCATACAAGAATTTGTGTTTTGCCTATTAAGCTAGTGATCGACAATATTAATTTATTAAATATTAATTCGCAAAATGTAGCTAGTATATATGAATCAAACATAACGTGATGAGGATAATTGTACCAATTGGCACAATTTATATAATTTTGTTTTTGATTGTTTAAGTAGAATAGCCATAAATTTGGTGTCATATGCAAGGAGTCATGCTAAGATTCATCTTGTTGATTCAAGGATGGTGGAGATGAGATTATGAATGCATCGTTTGATGATGTTTGGTTCAACGGATGCTCGGGTTTAATCGATTCTAAAAAGAAAATTTTGTTGTTCTCTTCATATATTCTATAGCCTTAAAGCTCAACAATTGCCTTGACTAACTATCACCAATCAATGTTGGTGCACGACGAGTGGTGGCCCTCGTCGCAAGTGGTGTACGGTATCTGCATCGACACACTTTACCCTCTGTTTTGCTCGACCATAAACCTGCATTTGTAAGTCGAGACTCGGTCGCGCATCATCAGAGTTTCGATTAGTTTTAAAATCGATTAAAAGCAAATTTTTATTTAGGTTTTATATTACTCAGATGTGAAAGATCATGTTACAAACAATTTCGTTAGATGGTCATATGACACTAGAGTTTAACATGTCGGCTTTTAAAAGTGTCATACTTAAAAAAAAAAAAAAAAAAAAAAAAAAAAAAAAAAAAAAAAAAAAAAATTGTTATGTTTTTTAATCGATATGCACAGTGTTAAACTATTAACTGAAATGTCATACTTTAAAAAATAATAAAAAAAAGTAAGATGTTCCGTAATATCAGTATTTATGTGAATTGATTGGGATCGATTCGCCTAACAGTTAAAGCGTCTGCATATAAGAATTTGTGAAACGGTGGCAAGTAATTAACAAGTTGAAAATGGTCCCTATGGTCAACGCGAGGAGTATGAAGCATAATGTACAGGGTATTACCAATTTTTTATCTGATTTCAAAATTATGTTTCAATCCATATTTTACTTTGATCGATGAATGATACGTGTTCATGATGATATCATAATTATGAATCATCCATTGTAATAAGAGTTGGAACATAATTTTGAAGCATGAT